AAAGTTGGTCTCAACCTGTTTTCTCTTTATATAGCGACCAACTTTGGTCGCTAATTTTAAATTTTATTTATTTATATTTTATTATTTTTAAAAAATAATATTATAATTATTAAAATTTAATAAGTGGGTCCCATGAAGCGACCAACGTTGGTCGCTAATCTGAGTAATTCTTTGACCAAGCAAGTCTGACCAGTCCGGTCAACAGTTTGACAAAATTTTCGACCAAGTTGCGACCAATGTTGGTCGCTAATTTATTTAAAATTATTATTTTATTATTTTCACCAGTTTAGCGACCAACTTTGGTCGCTTTTCTTGACAGACCAACTTTGGTCGCTAAAGTTTGGTCGCTTTTTGCAGGAATTCTAGTAGTGACATAAATTTCTACTTCGCGTTAAAAGTTATGGGTTCAATTGAACCCATAATTACCATGCTGCATCCGCCTCTGCCCATACCCCACTACCCTTCCCAAACACTATACTATGAAAATATACTGAGTATATTGTTGTTATTGTTATTGTATGCAAGTCGGTCAAACTTAAGATCATCATCTGGGAAGAAAAAGGGAAATAGAAGTCTATCTGGTGAGTCAAGAGATAACCAATAATGAAAGAGTGTCACATTTAAAATTTGTACTTACGACATAGAGCAAATTTTGAGCCACTTTAGCCATAACATTACGTATTTCCTTTATATCAAGGGGATTTAATAATTTATACATATCTAAAAAATTATTTTATTGGCATAGTAATTTTTCTATGTTGAAAGTCCTTTTGGCTACTCTTCCATGATAGGCTTCCCACTGGAGCCTTCCTCCACCATTTTGGGATTCCCATAGATCACAAATGCAGCTTTTGCAATCAGAGAATTGAAATATCTACACACATCTTCTTTGACTGTCCCAACACTAAACTATTCTGGGCAAACCCTGTCTCAGAAAGTTCCAACACACTTCCAAGCCACGTCACCTCCTTCACTAGTAGGGACTCGCCAACCACATGGGCCACCTTAAAAAAGAAACCCTTCAACAACATCATCAGCTGGGAAGACCTACCCCTCTTCTGCTTCTGGCAAATTTGGCTTTCGAGAAACAATAATCTGTTTAATAATAGGAAGGATATGGTTAATACAAAAGCTAATCTGGCAAAAGCGACAGAGTATATACCCATATCGGTCAACAGAACAACCACAAAACAGAAAACTATCTGGGTCAAATGCACACCACCTCTAACCAACACATACAAGCTTAACACAGATAGGGTTGCAGTTGGGAATCCCGAAAAGGGAGGAGTGGGAGGAGCCTTCAGAAACGCAGGTGGAAACTGGATGCTGGGCTACATGCGAAGTATTCAACACACTACCAACACACAGGCTAAGCTGCTCGCATTACTGAAAGGCCTGCAAATTGTAGAAGAAAGGCAGCTAACGCCCTTGGAAATAAACACAGACTCCACAGAGGTAATTAGGATGCTTATCAACGGAAATCTAATCTTTGACTCAATTATCTTTGAATGCAGGTCAATCGTCCAAAGACTAGGAGACGTGGTGGTGAAACACAGCTTTAGGGAGATGAACAAAGTAGCTGATCTACTGGCAAAGGAGGGTGCTAAGAAGGACTTTTTTTATACTATTTTTGTAACAGCAGTTCCTCCTGTGTTTGCCACACATGTTTTTTGTGCAGATATCGTAGGAACTGCTTTCTCAAGACAAGTTTTGGAATGTAATATTGATAACTATGACCACCTGGAGGGGGAATTAGTATACCCCCTACAAACAATGCTACTGTTTTATGCCCTAACGGGTAGGGGTGTTCAAAACCGAACCGAAATCGAAATCGAAAACCGAACCGAAATCGAAGCTTAATGGCTTATTGGTATCGGGCTAACGGTTTAACGGACGGGGAACAGATTGAAATTTTTTCATTAACGGCTTATCGGTTTGAGGGCGGATTATTCAATTTTCTTAACAGATATTCTATTAACCCGTTAAGAATATATATATATATATATATATATATATATATATATATATATATATATATATATATATATATAATATCAAAAACCGCTTCCATTCAGTCCTTTCCACCTTCCAGTACTCTATCTCTAAGTTCTTAACGCCTAATTCCTAATAATCAGAATTATGAAAAATATGTAACATAATCCTTGTTAATTACTTTACAAAAGGCAGAAGTTCATATATAACGCAACTAGTAAATTTGTATTTTACAAAGTAGTTACCGAATGAAGCACTGGTGCCTCCAGTAAGTGGACATGCACCCCCTACTCTGCCAAAGAGTTCATTGCGTAAAGTTCAATGTCAAATTTATGGTAAATGACAGAGTGAAAACCGACATGGAAAGTCATATAGGTACAATATTCATATCAGTAACTGCTTAATTTATAAATTTATATGCATCTAAAAGAAGCAGAACTAAGTTGAGACACAGTGGAATAAAACCAAAATTCAACATATGAAGTGCATGGAAAGGCTTCTGCTTAAGTGCTATAACAGCAGAATATATTCTTAAAAGTCATATATAAAAGTGCTTCGTATGCAGATTGAATTAGGCCGATAAACCGCCCGATAAGAGCTAAACCGACACCAATCCGCCGGATATCTTATCGGGTGGCTAGCGGATTAATAAATTTAAAAGTCGATAACCGATAAGCCAAACCGTTAAGAGTAAATAACCGCCCAATCCGCCCGATAAGCAGCCCTCTTAACGGGTAGTATTTTAATGAAATGATGCACCCTTTAACCAAAAAAAAAAAAGAAAAACCCTTCAATAAACATAGCTTCGCCCCTAAACTGAGTGCTACTCTTTAAGTTTTTGCTTAAGGCTTAACCAAATTCTCTAGGCGTAGCATGCACAATTTTTTTGCAGAATTAGTTACTATTGCAAGTCGAGTCGAAAGAGATGAGTTCAGTTGATCAACGCATTGAACCCGGTTCGTTCTAATATTGGTCTCTGCTTGATAAGTCTTAAGCAAATGTATATGTGTAGGTGCCGCAGCGATTAATGGCTTAACTTGAAGCACGTATAATATAACATCTGAAAAATTTCCTTTAAGGCAAATTTGTTAATCTTGTTTTTTTTGCTATGTTGGCCCCCATTTTTACTCATTTTCATGCTTTTGGGAGGCCGCCCATTTAATACCTTTCAACTAACCAACAATACCAACCAACAATACCAATCCAAAGTCCCCTCTATTATAAATAAATGCCTCAATCACTTAATCATTTATTCTAAAGCAACTAGCAAAAAAATAGTATACTATACCTTTCTAGCTAGTAATATTAGTTCAAGATGTCTAGTCCAATTTTTGCTACTATTTTCCTAGTAGTGTTCACTTTTGTGACTTGTACTGAGGGTGCTCCTCGTGCTTTCTTTGTGTTTGGTGATTCACTTGTTGACAATGGAAACAACAATTATTTACTAACTTCTGCAAGGGCCGATTCTCCACCTTATGGCATTGATTATCCTACTCATCGTCCTACTGGCCGTTTTTCCAATGGCTTCAATATACCTGATCTTATAAGTAAGTTTCCTAACTCTTTTTTTCCATATTATTGTACGAGAGGCGGATTTAGAACAGGTTCAGCTAACCCCTCGGAATGATTCCCCCTATGGACAGAGGCGGAGCTAGGATTTCTAGCATTTTTAAGTTACATGGTTCTAAACTAATATTTTGTACATATCAAATGAATTTTTTTAAGACAAACACAGAATTTGCACCAAAGTTACTGGGTTTGGACGAACCCGCACCTCGGTCTCTAGCTCCACCCCTGCCTACAGAGCCAAAGTGAAAGGCCTTCATCATAGCTTAGCATAGCAGACAATATAATGACGCGAAATCTAGGAAGGGGATGGGACAAGAATGCCAAATTTGAAGCAAACCACCTATATACTATGTCACCATTGTCTCTTTTAAGTGCTCTTGCCTTTTCATTACTAGCTAGAGTATACATTTGATCCTATATTTGGGGAAATTGAAACACAAAAAATGATCATATATAAATTTTTAATGTGCTACCAGGGTTTATTTTTTTATTATTAAAAAAATGGGAACAATGTTAACTTACTACAATCATGTAGTAGCTAGATCAACAAAACTTAAATATAAATTAAGCTCGGTCATTCTGAACACACTGACTCTATATTATAAATACTGGGTTATAAGGAATTTAAAAACATTATCTGCGAAATTGGAAAATATTTATTGTTAATAAAAATGTGTGTGGACAGGCCAAGAGCTTGGTGCTGAGCCAACATTGCCATACTTGGACCCTGAGCTAACTGGAGATAAATTGCTCGTTGGAGCAAATTTTGCTTCTGCTGGAATTGGAATTCTTAACGATACTGGAGTTCAGTTTGTAAGTCCAATTATTTTGCACGTCCTAATCTTCTTTTAAGTCCACATTATTGCAAGGCAAAATTATGGTAAAAAGAAAATTTATATGCAATATGTTATGTCTTTTTCTAAGGAAAGTTACGCATTTATAATAAATGTAGGGTGGCAATTTTATGTGTTGTTTGACCAGACACATGATTTAAGAAAGATTTTTTCTTAAATAGAATTGCAAGCCATAGCTATTTATGTAGCTATAAATAATTGGATAAAATAAAAAGTTTAAAGTTATATTATTTTAAAATATAGAAAGGTATCATGCTTTTTGGGACATGCTGAAAAGGGAAGTGTATCACATAAATTAGGACGCATGAAGTAGTTTATTTTGAGTTTAATATTTATACATTGATGGTCGGCAAAATATTTATACAATCAGATCGCTTATAATGTAATGTATGTCTACAATGATCATATAACTGGTAACTTGATAAAAATGACAATCTCCTATAATAGGTTAAAGTACATAAAAAAAATAAAAATTAATTTACCCTATCCGTGTATATGTTGATTTTTGTTCATTACCTCTTTTGAAAACAAACCATGCAAGTGAAAAGGAGCAATGCACTTTCTTGTCAAGTTAATTATTGTACATACTCGTTGATTGGAGTGATTAATTAATGAATTAATTTGGTTTTGCTTAATTAAGTTATTTTTGTGGTAGGCAAACATAATAAGAATTTCCCAGCAGCTACGAAACTTCGAACAATACCAGGCTCGAGTGAGTGCTCTTTTAGGAGAAGAACAGACACAGATGCTAGTAAACAAAGCACTTGTTCTCATTACTTTGGGAGGCAATGACTATGTCAACAACTATTTTTTCACACCAGTTTCAGCCAGAAGACTTCAGTATAATCTTCAAGATTTCTCTGTTTATATTATCAGCGAGTATCGGAAGATCTTGATGGTAATAAACACATCTCATATTGCCTTCTGCTCGAATTATGTATATATATGTGAAACATTATTTAAACTGTATGCGTATAAAAATATTATAGTAATGTCCCTTCGGTGATGGTCCAGTTGGTTTGGAGGGCGGTCATTCATACAGATGACCTGGGATCGATTCCCTCCTCATGAATGCCTTCTGGGTCAGCTTGTGGCATTCATGAGGAGATTTATCCAGTGCGCACAGAGAGCGACTGCAAATTTTCTTGGGGTTCCAAAAAAAATATTATAATAATTCTGAACCTATTGATTCTAAATTTTAGATTTTGAGCTGTGTATTGGTACTTGTCAAGAATACAAAATTTAAGATATGCCTATTAGTTGTTAGGAAAATGACTTTCTTAGATCAAATTTAATTTTGTTTAACTAAAATGTAGACTCAGATCTGAACACTTGTCTACTGATTGTACTAGTTCTAACTGCTAAGGAAAAATATAGATTCCATTTAATTACGATTCAACAAAAAGAACAGAAGAAACAGCAAAAGGTGAATTTTCCTAATATATGATGTCATTAATGTCACACCTAAACCTTTGCCAATGTCGGTATGTAAACTTTATCAATTATAGCAATAATAAACACACACCTATTTTTTTTTGTCATTGACATTATTGCTTAACTTTATCTACTATAATAGCAAAATCATTCAGCTTGACACACTATAAAATATTATCAGATTTGGGTAAATGTTTTATACAGTCAAATTTCTCTATAACAGCCTTGTTCGTTCCGATATTTTTTCGTTACTATAGTAAAGTGTTGTTATAAATGACATATATTATAACGTAATATAAAAATCAATTCTGAAAAAAAAAATTAACTTTTATAGTGAATGGTTATTATATAAGTATGTTTGTTATAATAGATAGGTCTGACCGTAGTTATAAAGTCTTTAAGAACCTACCTATCTAGGTACGTAATTTACTATTATAGTGGTAAAATTCAGTGATCATATATGAAATCCTAAACCTATAGCCAATATCGACTTATTTGAGACTGAGGCGTAATAATTATTGTTACAGAGGCTGTATGATTTGGGAGCAAGAAGAGTGTTGGTGACAGGATCAGGTCCATTAGGTTGTGTACCATCCAGTCTAGCCAGCAGGAGCACCAATGGCGAATGTGCAGAGGAGCCTCAACGTGCTTCTGCTATTTTCAATCCTCTACTTGTCCAAATGATTCAAAGTCTCAATCAAGAACTTGGCTCTGATATCTTTGTTGCTGCTAACGCTGTGGATATGCAGAACGACTTCATCAGAGATCCCCAAGCCTTCGGTATGAATTCTTTTAATTTGTTTCTGTATTTGAGGTTAACTTTGTGTGCTAACCAGGGGCGGATCCAACGTACCTGTGCCGGGTTCAAATACTTTCGACGTAAAATTTAAATTATACTGATAATATAAAAATTCTTTACTTTTTTAGTATTTATAACTTAAGCTCATTTCTAATTAGATCTAACTTATATATAGAGGTGGCAAAATGGTTAAAAGAAAATAGCTATCCACCCATATTATCCATTAAAAAATGAGTTGGATAATGAACTTTTTAAAAACGGTTCAATACGGATAATAACCATATTATCCACTTAAAAAATGGATAACCAGTAGATAACTAATGGGTTTAACTTTTACATTTGTAAAGCCTCAAATTGGAGGTTTCTCAAGTTTGGGAGACTTGGAATTCTCCCAAAAGTGATCATATTCAAGAGGCCACTGATAATATGGATATCTATATTATCCGTCGAGTAATCCGTTTTTTATCCGTATAAAATATGGGTCGGATCGAATAATTTATCTGTTTTTGCACTATCCATTTTCGACCAGACCTGTCCGTTTACCACCCACTACTTATATACAATGATGGTATTAAGAATTTTTACACAATTAATGCATTTAGTTTGAGCTTAACTTCTATAGCCTACAACGACGGGTTAAATTGCACTATAGTGTAAGAGTATTTCCATACCAGTGTGAACCCATTATATTTTTAAAGTTATGGGCTCATTCTACGTATTTTGCAATTTTAATAAATTTTTACATATAAATTTTTACTCCGCGTCGAAACTTATGGGTTCAATTGCATCTGCCGAGTATACGCTACATCCACCACTGCAGGAAATAAACCCTTTAGGATTTACCTTGATATGAATGAAAACCATTTATAATCACCATTATTGTTTGTTTAGACCTCTGTTTTAAAAGGCAGAATTGGGACTCGCCCGGGGCTCGCCGCGGGGCGGAGCACTCGTAAAACGCCCCTGGGCTTATGTGTGGACTTAGTTCTGTGAGACTTACGCCTCGACCATCGGGGCTTACGCCCCGGACACGCCCAACGCCCAGCGTACTGGGCTCGCCTAATAGAACTTTATGCAATTGTATGTAATTAACCTTGTAAATCTTCAATTTTCTTAATAAATCGTTGACTACTCAAAATTACTTTTTTCCTAAGTATAAAAATTATTAAGTTGAGAGTATTGTCATAATTAAAATAAAAATTATTGCACGTTATCCACTAAGACTGCTATGATAGTTAATTTTAAATAAATCTTTCATTCAAAAAGTATTTATTTATTAACTATTATTATGTCTTTACTATATAATGGAGTAGACCATAATTTTTTTTATAAATATTTTTCTTTTCGCGTTTACGAGATACAATATTTATTAATTTAATATCTCAATATTAGTTATTATAGTATTGTATGGTGAATTATGTGTCACTTTATTAACTTGTTGAAACTTAAAAATGAATGATGCTTGAGAATCATATTTAAATTGTGAATTGTATTTTTATATAAATTCTCTTTCAAATAGAAAGCATATTAAATAAAAGGAGTATTTTAATAAAAATATCAAATTATAGTATCGAAATTCTTTCAAAATTCATTACTCCTTAAGAGATACATATAAGATTTTGTATCGAATACATTACTTTTGATGCTTGAGTTGTAACGACATTGCAACTATTTGCACATTATGATATATGTCATACTTTTCATATTATTGATAGTTGAATTATAATTTATTAATATTTTAAATATATTATTTGTTATAATTTTGTAATTTTAATGTAATTTTTATAAGTAATTTTCATTTTATGCTATCCTAAAATTCTTGAACTTAGTAAAATTTAAAGATCCGTAGGACTTACGCCCCATGTCTCAGGGCTTACGCCTCGCCTCGTCAGAGGTAAAACGTCTCGCCTCACGCCCCGCCTTTTAAAACATTGGTTTAGACTAAATGGACTAACCAGTAAACTTCACTTCACAGGTTTTATTACATCAAAAGTAGCATGTTGTGGACAAGGGCCATATAATGGAGTTGGAATATGCACAGTTGCATCAAACTTATGTCCAAACAGAGATCTATATGCATTTTGGGATCCTTTCCATCCAACAGAACGTGCCAACAAAATCATAGTCCAAACAATTTTCACTGGTTCAGACAAGTACATGACACCTATGAACTTAAGCACAATTATGGCTATCGATTCTCTGTAGCATGCACCTGTGACTGATGAATCCAATTATATATTTATCTTTTTTTGAGGTTGTCGATCCTTTCCAATTCATGTTTTAACGTTGCTAGCTAGTTGAATGCTCCTTCTTGATTATATTTATTATTAATGTAATTTTGTTATATATTTATATATATGATGAGTTAAATAAGGCATTATTCTTGTACTTCCTTAATTATTTGTAGTTTTCTTTTATTTCCTATTATTTCTTTCGCCTTTGGTTATTCTATTATCGTATTATATTGTAGCTACTACTCATTGCTGTCAAAATCAGCTATCCATGAAGTTCAGCCATGGATTCTTAGCTGATTAAAGCTAATCTGGTGAGTTTGAGTAGGTCGGTGAAACAGAGGAAGAAGATGGAGAGAGAATATTCTGAGAGATTCTATTTCTTCAAAAAATAATGTGTATGTGTGTTTATGTATATGTGTATGACTAAATGCTAACTAACTCTTAACTATGGTTAACTAACTCTATTACTAACCACAGTAAACTTAAGTTACAATTAGCACAACTAACTAACTGTCACTATAATTAACTAAGTAATATTGCTTGGCTCAATACTCCCCCTCAAGCTGGAGGGTAGAAACAAATTTTCTACTCCCAGCTTGCTCAACAGAAGATAGTGTGGTGCTTTTCCAAGACCTTTGGTAAGTAAATCTGCAAGTTGATCCTTGGTACTGACATGATGTGTTTGGATGAGACCTTGCTGCAATTTCTCCCGTACAAAATGACAATCGATGTCAATATGTTTGGTCCTCTCGTGGAATATTGGATTAGTAGCTATCTGTATGGCCGCGTTACTGTCGCAGAAGAGGTCTATGGGCAATTTCACTGTGATGCCTAACTCCTTAAACAGACCCACAAGCCATGATAATTCAGCTACTGTTGAGGCCATGCTTCTAAACTCTGCCTCTGCTGAACTTCTTTACACTATGCTCTGTTTCTTGGATTTCCACGAAATAAGTGATTCCCCGTACTTCACAATGTACCCTGTGATTGATTTTCTGGACTGTGGACAAGCTGCCTAGTCTGAGTCACAATAAGCAACCAATGAATGAGAGGTTGCAGAAGACATTAGTAAACCCAGACCTGGAGCACTCTTCACATATCTGATGACTCTGAGGGTTGCATTCATGTGTGACCTAATAGGTTTGTGCATAAATTGGCTCAAGACCGAACTACATAAGCTATATCAGGCCTGGTCATGGTAAGGTAGAGCAACCTTCCTACAAGCCTTTGATAGGGTTCAGCATCAGCCAGAATAGTATCCTCATCATCCTTGGTCTGTGTAGCTTCATCAAATTCCACTGATGTGAGCTTCTGATTGACTTCCAAAGGTGTTGACACAGGCTTTGCTCCCCTGGCCCTGAATCAGATATCAGATCAAGGGCATATTTGCGTTGATTCATGAGGATTCCAGCCTTACTTCTGGCAAATTCTATGCCTAAGAAGAATCTGAGCTCCGCTAAGTCTTTAATTTTAAACTTCTTCTGAAGGTTATCTCTAGCAGCTTGAATAAGTTGCTGATTATTGCCTGTCACCAGGAGGTCATCTACATAAACTAGGACAACCACTAAAGCATCACCTCTCCTTTGTGTGAACAAGGAATAATCAAAGTGGCTTTGGACAAATCCCAGGTCTTGGAGAGCTTCTGTGAGCTACAAGTTCCACTGTCGAGATACTTGTTTGAGCCCGTAAAGTGACTTTCTCAATTTACACACCTTGGCTCTAGACTCCCCTTTGGTGCCAAAAACCTGAGGAAGTTGCATGTATACTTCTTCAAAGAGATCCCCCTGCAAGAATGCATTATGCACATCCATCTGATAAATGTGCCAATGTTCTGAAGCAGCTGCAGCTAAAACTGATCTAACAGTCACCATTTTAGCTACAGGAGAGAAAGTCTCCTTGTAGTCTAGACCTTCCTTTTGGCTAAAGCCTTTGGCCACAAGCCTAGCCTCGAACCTTTCCACCTCCCCATTGGCTTTGTATTTGACTTTGTATACCCACTTACAACCTATAGGGATTTTACCTTTAGGCAGATCAACTATATCCCAAGTTTTGTTATCTTCCAGAGCTTGAATCTCATGTTGCATAGCATTGACCCATTTTGCATCTTTGGCTGCCTCATAGTAGTGCTTGGGCTCAACGATAACTGATTGTGCAGTAAGACATTTTACATATGAAGGGGATAACCTATCATAGCTCAGATAATTGGACATAGGATATGCACAAGAACTTGTCATATAATCCTGCATCCATCTGGGAGGTCCAGTTGTTCTTTGGGACTTTTGGACTGCAATTGGTTGAACAACTTCTACATGTGAAGGAGGCTCAACATCATGTGGTGCAGGGCTGTCAGCTTGTGCTTCAGGTGAATCAGCATCATCAAGTGCAAAGTCATTGGTAGGAGTAGCATGCTCCTAAACATAATCAGAAACAGGTGAGACTAAATGCTCATTTGTTAACCCAAGGACTGGAAATAAGGGATTAGTCATCATCTTCATTTGTTTAAAAGGGAACACCTGCTCCTTAAACACCACATCTCTACTGATTAAGAACTACCTGGATTACAAGTCATACAGTTTATAGCCCTTCATTGTTGGTGAGTATCCCATAAACACTGCTGGCAATGCTCTGGCAGAAAATTTGTCCTGTTTTCTTACATTTACAGCATAACATAAGCACCCAAATACCATTAGGTGATCTAATGATGGTGCAGTGTTAAAGAATACTTCATAGGGGGATTTTCCTTTCAAGGCTATGGAAGGCAATCTATTTATTATGTGTACTGCTGTAAGAACACACTCACCCCAAAATCTTAAGGGTGTTGCAGATTGAAATCTCAAAGCTCTAGCTGTTTCAAGGATGTATCTGTGTCTTCTTTCCACTATGCCATTCTGCTATGGAGTATAAACACATGTAGTTTGATGTACAATTTCTAATGTCTCAATTAACAGCTTCATATTTGAATTAATAAATTCAGAACCATTATTTGTTCTCAGGATCTTAACAGAACAATCAAACTGAATACTGATCATAGAAAATAATCTTTTCATTAACAAGTCTCATCTTTAGTATTCATCAGGAAAAGCCAATTTATTCTAGAGAAATCATCTACCACTGTAAGAAAAAATCTCTTGCTATCATAGGTGGGTACTCTAAAAGGTCGCCATACATCAGCATGCAAAAGATCAAATGGTGCCTTAGCTCTACTAGTACTAACTGGAAATGGTAATCGAGTCTGTCTAGCTAATGGACAAACAGGACACATTGCACAATCACTGCTCCTGTTACTAGTGTGAATTTTGAACTTATCAATCCTCTTAAGTGTCTCCATAGGTAGGTGGCCAAGTCTCTAGTGCCATATCTCCAGTTTTATTGAATCTTGACTAACTGACATAGGAGTAGGCATGATTGTGGTATGTACAAATCGTGTAGTAAGCTTCCTCCTGCATATGCAATCTTTGAGTATGTACAGTCTATTTGTGTCATTACCAATCCCCAACACCTTCCCAGTGTAGAGATCCTGAAATACACATATATCAGGAAAGAAGGATACCAAACATTGCAGCTCTTTTGTCAATTTTGAAACTGACAGTATGTTATACTTAAAATTTGGAACATCAAGAACATCACTAATCTGTTGGTTCTTGAATATACTAGTTGATCCACTATGTGTAATTGCAGCCACATCTCCATTTGGTAAATGAACTGAGTTGGGTTTTAGGAATGAGGTAGGATTATCTAATGCTTCTAGCTTTGAAACCATGTGGTTAGAGGCACCACTATCTACTATCCAAACATCTTGATCCAAGTTAGACATTAAGGACATTATATACCTGAATCCATTCCTGTTGTATTAGCTACTACTTCAGTCTCCTTGCCTTTAAGCACTTGTAGAATCTGCTGATATTGTTCTGGAGTAAATGTGGGAGCCATAGGTGTAGAAGCAGTTGTTGTTGCTGGAACATCTTCAGCTGCAAAATTAGTTGTTGCCTGGGAATTGTACTTCTTCCTGAACTTGTTATCTTTTGGATATCCTACTACCCTGTAGCAAGTTTCTTCAGTGTGGCCTTTCATGTGGCCTACATCACACTAAAGATTGTAATTTTTCTTTGACCTCTGCTGATTCCCATATCTATTTGGCATCAGCGCCGCCATGTCACCCCCATCAACAGTGGTAAAGGTGTTAGACATTGTCCTCTGACTCTCACGCTCCATTAACATAGAATAAGCTTTGTTCACATATGGAACAGGAACCATCATCAAGAGCTGGCTGCGTGCTTGTTCATAAGACTCATTCAGTCCCATTAGGAACTGTAGAAGCTTTTGACGCTCCATGAATTGAACAAATTCACGAGAGTTAGCAGCATCACGACCAGGAATTGGTGCCAGACTATCAAACTCCGCCCAAAGCACTCTCAATTTTGAGAAATAAGTCGAAATAGAACTGGTGCCCTGCCTAGCAGTAGCAATTTCTCTGTGGATCTGAAAAATCCTAGAGTAATCCACTTTATCAAATCGCTCCTTCAAATCGTCCCATACTCATTAGCATTTGACGAATATACCATCCCACTCAACAATTCCGGAGAAACGCAGTTCATCAACCAAGACAATACAATCGCATTACAACGTTCCTAGAGATCTACGAGATTTGTACCATAGTTATCCCTTTTGCATGTTCCGTCAATGAACCCTAGTTTATTTCGACCTAGGATTGCAATCCTCATTGCCCAGCTCCACACAGAGTAGTTTTCCAGTCCTCGTAATTGCAACGAAATCAACACAGCTCCTGAATTATCATTTGAATTCAGGAAAAGTAGGTGATTGTACCTAATTTCTCTGGTTCAGTGTTATCGACGGTCGCCATTGTTGATCTTCCAAATTAACTCGAAGAAAAAAACTAAAATGGACGAAATTGAAAAACGATGAGACCACACTAATGGCCGTGTAGCTCTGATACCATGTCAAAATCAGCTATCCATGAAGTTCACCCATGGATTCTTAGCTGATTAAAGCTAATCTGGTGAGTTTGAGTAGGTCGGTGAAACAGAGGAAGAAGATGGAGAGAGAATATTCTCAGAAGATTCTATTTCTTCAAAAAGTATTGCGTATGTCTGTACATGTATATGTATATGACTAAAAGCTAACTAACTATTAACT